GCATGAAAACACACACACTGACACACTCAAACACGCACACACTGACACACTCAAACACAGACACGCACACATTGACACACAGAGCATGAAAACACACACTGACACACTCAAACACAGACACGCACACACTGACACACTCAAACACAGACACGCACACACTGACACACAGAGCATGAAAACACACACACTGACACAGAGCATGCAAAAAACACACGCACTGACACACTGAAACACAGACACACACACACAGACACACACACACTGACACACTCAACCACAGACACGCACACACTGACACAGAAATCAGATCTGTACAGACACAGCCAGACAGGACTGATCAAGCTACAGAACAGGGTGGTAATCAGGAGTACAGGAACAGAAACAACTGGCACACAAAGCAGGGAGCTGTCTGTGTGGGGCAGTGATCTGAGCTACAGTAATGTGCGCCACATCTCACGAACTGCGATAAAGTGCAGGAAATCTCACTAAAATCCAGAATTCTATAGCACAGTGTACTGGACTCCAGTATGGTGCAGCAATCTACAAAAAATGTCAAACCTCTTCAGTACAGTTCGTTAGCCAATCAAAGGCAACATAATTTTCAGAATTCACTGAGATTGATCTGAAAACAAAGTAAACCACAGCAGAAGGCAGCCTTGAATATTAGCAGTGTACTCTGCTATGGCGGACCGAAAGACTCCAGAGGCATTTTTCCGAGCGGTTTCCACCTGATCCGGGTCACAGTGTGAGAATCGAGACTCTCACAAGGCTTTCTTGAGCGCAGCGCGGTCAGATACTCAGTGTTGCTCAGTCTGAGCCTGCATTCTTCAGCACTGTTAGTTCCAGAGTCCTTGAGTCACCCTTCAGCTGCTCTGTTTAAACACTTAAAACCCCCAACAAAGAGAAACTGCTTTTGTTTCTGCAGGGTGGAAATTTGCCCAGGCTTTGACTGCCAAATATCTGCAGCACTATAAGCAGAAACAGTCTTTACAGATTTTCCTAAAACTCCTCACCCTCCTCAACTAGTAACTACCATTGTCCACGTATTGCAGGGCAGTGCTCCTGGTCAGTCAGATATTCAGGCTGTTGGTCAGTCGGTCAGTCAATTAATAGGTCAGTTGGTCAGTGTATCCATCAGTCAGGCAAGGTGTCATTGTGTCAGTCAGTGTGTCAGTGTGTCAGACAGTCAGGGTGTCAGTCTATGTGTCAGTTTGTCAGAGTGTCAGAGTGTCAGTCTGTGTGTCAGACAGTCAGAGTGTCAGTATGTGTGTCAGTGTGTCAGACAGTCAGGGTGTCAGTCTATGTGTCAGTTTGTCAGAGTGTCAGAGTGTCAGTCTGTGTGTCAGACAGTCAGAGTGTCAGTATGTGTGTCAGGGTGTCAGTGTGTCAGTGTTTCACCCAGTGTGTCAGACAGTAAGTCAGCTTCTCAATCAGGATGTGTCAGTCAGTGTGTCAAAGTGAGCATGTTTGGATGGTTTTGTTTTTATTTCTTCCCATAACCCTGACCCTGCCGCCGTGGCGCCAGCACGATGCTCCGCCAGCCTCCCTGTCTGCACAACCTCCAGACTTTCACCAAAGAGCAGTGTCCCTCCTGCTCCGAGACTGCAGCCAGAGCCACAGCCCTTCCAAAGGCACGAGAGCAACTCAGTCTGTTCAAATGTCCTGCACAAAAGTGACCGACTGGCCCCCAGTTTGGACTCCCTGATTCCCCATGAAACCCCCCCCCGCCCCCCCAGAGAGGAGGCAGGGGACCAGGGGCCCTGCAGTAAGAGGTGATGTCATAGCTCAGCTCCTCTCCTCTCTCTCACCACGAGTCACTGCAGATAAGAGCTTCGGGTCCTGGCTAGCGGTAGAAGACTTAATCACTTTAGGAAAAGGGACATTAACAGATATGCAGGCTGACCACTTATTCTATTTTGATGGGTTGGAAGGATCTCACTGAGAGAGGAAAAATAATCCCGAACTGTGGGGTGAACCATCCTTACAATCTTGAAAATGTGGCAAAACAACAAGTCTTTTAATTCCTTATATTATATATACAAATAGCTGTCAGTTGTACACAGACATTCAAACAGGACTTCAGCACAGACAGGGACACACAGTAAAGTCTCAAACAGACAAGCAGTGCAGGCAGGACCTCAGCACAGAGACACACAGTAAAGTTCAAAAAGACATGCAGTGCAGACAGGACTTCAGCACGGAGACACAGTAAAGTCACAAACAGACACGCAGTGCAGGCAGGACCTCAGCACAGACAGGGACACACAGTAAAGTTCAAAAAGACATGCAGTGCAGACAGGACTTCAGCACAGACAGGGACACACAGTAAAGTT